AGTTGGGCGTCATCTATGAGAATTTGACAGTAATTTCCATTATTTTACCAATTACATCAGTCGCAGTCGGGATATGATTGGCTCACTTTGACCTTTTATACAAAATCTACAGTATGTGCTTTCACGTAGAATCATTTTGTATATGATTCCACCATTTCTCTGACATTTGTAGGATCTAAACGCTATAATACATAAACGCTACTGAGACACCACGTTACCTGTCTTCTCTCGATTACTGATATCGAGCAGACAACGAAATATCTTTTTGCAGCAGCTCTTTTGGCACGTCAAACGTAATGATACAACGCATCAAATCCAATGTCTTATTTCTTATCAGCTGCTACAATTACGTTTTTATTTTATGATGCCGCTATCTAATCTATAAAAGAACAATGACAATGATAAAGTACCTCGCCTTCATCTGACGATACTTTATTTTTAAAAAGCTTCGCGCGATGTCTTGACAAATGGTTGGTTGTATAGAAAGGGATTTTTGTATATCTTTATTTTTAGTATCGCCTTACAAGACTGCGTTCATCACTGAATATTTCATGTAATCTATCTAGAATGAGGAGTCTACAGAAAATGGAATAATGAAGACACATTCATACAAGTTGATGGTATTCATCGAATTCAACTGTCCGCAAGTAATTAAATAATTAGGTTTAATCAGGTGGAAAACGGAGAACAAATATCGTTATGAACAGCCTATAATTCGTCTTTGTCATAGCGATAGAAATATTGGACTTTCCCTGAAAAAAAGTCGCCACACTTTATATAAATGCTGCTTCTACAGTATCTTATTAAATTTCTGGGAGAACACAGAAAAATGTCCTTAGGGAGCAACAGGTGAAAACTTTGGAACTCTAAGGTACAGTTTGTAAAACTTTCACTTTTTGATGCCCCCAGGACAGAAAACTTGAAAATGCAAAATTGTTTGAAACTTGAGAGCTATGCAAAGTTCATTCAGAAGATTAGTAAGTCGTTATCATTAGCACATCACGCAGCTTATGACCTTCTTGAAGTAGTACAAAGGGAGAGATATAAAGCAGATTGCAGATAAAAAATAAGCATCCTTGGTGATTATTTAATTTCGAGACTAATAATGCTTCTTTTGATCCCGAACTGGATCTGCTAGAAGAACGTATTATAGGAATACACGATACCAGGATATTTCAGGTTCAACTGAGCTATCCACATTATATTACAATAAATATCAGGTATCTTTCAAAAGCTATTACAAGATTGAAATCGAATAGATATCCAAGTGAACATCTTTCAAAAATGGTTATGAAGGAACAGTATTGGAGTGAAGTTATTATTGTTAGTGAACCACTGGTTAGTGTATGACGAATTTCCTTCAAAATTAAAATGTGCTACAATTACTCCTATTCCAAAAGTGCAAAATTCTAAGTTATATACAAAAATGCAGCCAATTAATGTACTGCCAGATGTCGAGAAGCTCTTAGAAGGAATCATATATCAACAGGTCATTAAATATATTGAAGAAAAGATGTTGACAAAATTTCAAGCAGGATTCAGAAAAAAGTTTTCTACTGAAACAGCAATTCAAATGGTAGTAGAAGAATGGAGGCGAAATATGGATGAAAAAAGTTTACAGTAACATTGTTCTTAGATTTCAAGAGAGCATTTGAGACTATGGACAGGGAGAAATTGTTAACAAAATTGCATTGCTATGGGTTTCAAGGTTCAGTATTCAACTTATCAGAAAATCATTTAATCAATGGAAGTCAAAGAACTAAAATTGGCAATACATTATCAAACATTAAACACATTTCGGTAGGTGTGCCACAGGGTAGCAAATTAGGTCCATTACTATTTATTTTATATATTAACCATATTCCTGATATTTTACAACACTGCAAAATTCAACTATTTGCTGATGATACATTAATAATATATATATATATATATATATATATATATACAGGGTTATCCAAATTAAGTGTCCACCATTGGTAACTTTGTTATTAGTAAAAATACAAAGTTGTTTAAATTAGCAAACTAGTAGCATTTTTAACGCTGGTAAAAATGAGAAATAAAAAAAAACAATTGAGAGTCGTTATTTTGATTTTTTTCAGTAAAATAACATTTTTTTAAATGGAAACCCCTGTATATTATATTTTTTTCTGTTAAAGCATCAAATTTTAAACAAAAAAGTTCATAATGACCTTTCCGCTAAAGTCAAAAATAAAGTCAAAATAACGATAAATATTTTTAATTATTTGCAGTATTATAATATTAAGACGGCTATGAAAACAACATGGCGTTCGCGATTTGACAGCATTAAGATAAGCGACAAATTGTTAAACTGGACATACTCGCAGCTAGAAGGCTTTGGAAAACAATGATAAAATCAAATAATGTCAAACATTAGTGGAAATACTTGTTTATAAGCTTTATTGTGTCATTAATTTAAAGAAAAATGTTCTCCCATGAAGAAAAGTGTGATATGTTAGAATGCTATTTAGTGTGCAGAAAATCCTCCTTGAGAGCAAGAGAATACTACAGTGAATTATATCCTGCTCGCATTCAACCGTATGAACGATATTTTCTGAGACTTTATCGAAAATTTAGGGAAGCTTATCGTGAGACTTCAATAACAGATATTCTCAAGGACTCTAATTTCAGTTATGGTACTGTTCAAAGGATTTTAAAAAAATACAAATTTATTCCGTATAAGTACCGACCAGTTCAAACGCTTTTGGCAGGGGATCCAGAGAGAAGACTTGTTTTTTGCCATTGGTATCTTAGCTTCTGTCGCCAAAATGTAAATAACTTTCGTTACCTTTTATGGACAGATGAATCAAATTTTTCAAATTCTGGAATGTTTAATAGAAAAAACCACCATTATTGGTCAAGAGAAAATCTTTTGTTAGTACATCCAAGAGGCCCACAAGTCCGTTTCATTTTCAACGTTTGGTGCGGTATAATTGGTTCAAAAATTGTTGGCCCGTTCTTTTATGAGGGAACCCTAACTGGTGAAAGATATGTGGAATTTATGTCAGAAATTCTGACTAATTTCTTAGACGAATTGGATCTTATAAGTAGACATCATCTGCATTTTCAGCAAGATGGCGCACCTGCCCACAACTCCAGAGGTACTTATCATTTTCTAAGTACTACTTTTAATGATCAGTGGATAGGAACAAATGGCCCAATACAGTGGCCTCCCAGATCACCAGATCTAAACCCACTTGATTACTTCTTGTGGGGTTACTTAAAGAACCATATTTACAAGCGAAGGTACGATAACCTTGACGCGTTAAAGACTGCAGTTAGGGAAAAGATAACCCAGATAGATGGTAGGACCATACTTAAGACAGTTCGAGCAGTTGAAAAACGTGCCCAAAAATGTATTGAAGAACAAGGTGGTGTTTTCGAGCATCTTCTTTAAAAAAAATTGTTATTGTATTTTGTAAGATTATAAGTTGATGTTGAAAATAAAGTTTGTCGATACAATTTAATTGTTTCAGATTGGAGGCCATAACTTCAACAATTTGTAACCTAGGAGAAAAGTTATTGTAAGCTTTTTTGTTTAAAATTTGATGCTTTAACAGAAAAAAATATAATATACAGGGGTTTCCATTTAAAAAAATGTTATTTTACTGAAAAAAATCAAAATAACGACTCTCAATTGTTTTTTTTTATTTCTCATTTTTACCAGCGTTAAAAATAACAAAGTTACTAATGGTGGACACTTAATTTGGATAACCCTGTATATATATATACATATGTATCAAATAAAGACATTGAAACTGCAATAGAGCTGTTAAATAATGATACGAAAAACGTAATAAATCGGTTAAATGTAAATAAACTTAAACTAAACACAAACAAAACAAAATATATGCTAATAGGAAAATCTTTAGATCAAAATACGATATATATTATAATTATTCATGAAAAAATATGTCAATCGAATCATTTAAATATGTGAGCATATACGTAGACAGTGAATTAAAATTTGAAGGGCACTATGAATATATTATTTCAAAAATATCCAAGAAAATGAATTACTTTTATAGAATTTCGCATAGCCTAAGCGTATATTCTAAAAAAATTGTGTACAACACTATCATTCTTCCTCATTTGTTATATTGTTCGACTATTTTGTTCACTGAAAATGAAACAGTATTTTCAAAATTACAAATATTACAAAATAAGGCTATGAGAATCATCTTAAATAAAAACAAATATACTAGAATAAATTTTATGCTGAAAGAACTACAATGCTTAAATATCAAAAATTTCGTAGCCTACTTGGTTTTCATTTTCCTATTCAAGTTGAAAAATCATCTTCTACCAAATCACTTAGAAAATTTTATTGTATTGAACAATGAGTGCCACAATTATTCTACTAGAGGAAGTATAGACTTTCATTTACAAAACTGCAGTAGCAATATAACGAGAAAGTCAGTATTTCAAAAGGGATTGTACGAATTTAATGAATTAAGTAATGATATCAAGATGTGTGTCAGTTTGAAAATGTTCAAAGGGAAGTTGAAAAAATATCTCATGGAAAACCAGAACTCATAGTAGTGAAATTTTGTATAATAATATGTAGTCTTGAAGACATAATATATTTTGTGATATACTGTGTAATATGGATATTATGGACATTGTAGCATTAATGCTAAATAAATCTGAAACAAACAAAAACAATTTTTAATCATATAATGTATTGATTGTACAACAGAAAGTTGACCCCACAGTCCTGATCTGGATAAGATTTTCAAAACGTTCGAACCTAGACTAAATAGCTCCCTGATCCCTTTCGGGAGAAAAATTGGTAAGGTAGGTCGAAAATTGAAGGTTGGAGGGGTTGAGGTTTGAAATCAAGAAAGCGTTCTATTATTAGGGCACTTTAAATTAAAAAATGGATAATCGTGAATGTTAAATAAACAATGTCAATTATATTCCAACTTGACATTTGTCTGAAAACAAATGAAACTTCAAAGCTCTTTCTTTCGTTGCAGGTATGCCTTATATCAGGCTAATACCGAAAGTGACAGCTGTAGCAGGAGAGACACTTAGACTGAAGTGTCCCGTAGCGGGTTATCCTATAGAAGAGATCCATTGGGAGAGGGGTGGCAGTGAACTACCAGTAGATCTCCGACAAAAAGTAAGTCATATGCAATACGATTTAGTTTCAACGTTTGTCTTTTTACCAACTTATTTACAAAATTAAACCATGGATGCAGTATCTCTGGAAGAAGATTTCTATGGTCGCGATCATTTAGGGTCATATTCTTACTTTCTTCAAGGTTCAAGCTGATGGTACATTGATTATACATCCAGTGGAAAAGAAAGCAGATTCGGGCGTATACACATGCTGGGCAAGAAATAAACAAGGACATAGTGCAAGAAGAAGTGGGGAAGTCAACGTCATAGGTAGGTTACTCAACATAATATGTGCCTAATTTTTGAAGTCCCTCCAGTTATACATTCTCAGTTTTAGCTGATTTATTGCAGACAATTCATGTATGAACTGTTCTGTAGAACCTTTTGAATGAATAAAGCTCTTGAAGCCCCATGTCCTATAGGAAGATCAAAGCATTATTTGTTCAAACACTTCATATGTAAGAACGGTTTTATGTTTTACCAACATTCAGTTGATGACGCACACATTTTTTCAAATGTATTTGTCTGATGTTTCATAAGTAGCAAAGATCTATTATTATATTGATACGTGGATACTGCATTTTAGCGTAAAAGTTGCAGTTTGAAGGTTGAAGATTGTTTTTGGTACATTCTCTCAAATGAAAGGAGGGGTTGTGTGATACCTCATTAGGAAGCTCTTTATGAGTACTTATCCTAGAATAAAAAATCATTATCTTTTGAAATGGTAGATTGCTAGGCTATCGAAGTTGATCGTTTTTATATGTTCGATATTTTAACAAGTGGCATCAAAACGTTAAATGTTATATTACTACTATTGTTCTTATTGTTATCACGATTGTTATTAAGTAAAGAAAAGTAAAATAGGCCACAACGGCTCCGTAAAACCAAACTGCTGTTCCATTAACAACTAGCCACTCCCCAAACCATGAGGTAAGCAGCTAGGTCCTCAAATCGTGTGCCCAGAGTAGACTGAGGGAACCGAGGATGACCGCTTTCTGCATTCTTCCGACTAAGATGCTTGACGATTCTCGGCAGTGCATTCCTCATCCCACTCAAGGATCCAATGACCATGACGGTGTGGTCTAGCCAGAGTTTGCGAACCTGATTGAGCAGCTCCTGATATTTGGTCCGTTTTTCTTCTTCGAGTCGACGTTCACTTCGGCCGGAGCCGAAAATCAATAAGAAGATCGCCTTCCGTTCGTAATCGAGAAGGACTATGTCGAGCTTATTTGCCAGCACCTGTTCGAACGTGACGAACGAGTAATTTCAGTAAATCCGGCAGTCCTCCACAAGGGGATCAATATCCCCTGGAGCATATGGCAGCACAGGTGTTGCATCTATGTTGTTATTATTATTACTATTATTACTATCTTCTTCTTTAATATTGGGCATTCAGATATATAAATTGTCAGATTATGACCCTCCTTAAATGGAACGTTCCACGTTTTTTTTACATATTTAAATGACTAGGGACCATTTCGCATCGGCGGTGTAGCTCTCCGCCCGCCTGAATTTGGCGTCCCATCCTAAACGTATCGAACTTTGTACTTCCAGAACTACTCAATATGACCGCTCCTTTGTTCCTAGGGCATGAAGATTGTGAAACGATCTGCATGAGGAAGCTGTTCCCAGTTCTGTCTACTATCTCCTAACATTAGAGAGTTCACAAATCGGATTAACAAAGTTTCTTTTAAGGTCATCGAATCCGTGAAACCATGGCGTTTGGACATTTGCCTGCGCAGCTGCTTCGGTGTAAAAAAAGACACTTCCAAGATAAGAAGATGGATATGAAACAGTACAACGTTCTGATGATTGGTTATTGAGCTATAAGCAGCTCAATGTACAAAATCGTTCAACTTTGACTGCATCCCACTTCGCTACTTTTAACGAAGGTGACATTATATTATTATTATAACCTTGCACGCGATTCTCATTATACAATGTGTTTGGTCACGTCATACCGATAGTTAAGAGGGGTATTTTTCAGCTATTTTTATCGACAAATCTACCTCCCTACAATGTCCTACCGCATCCCTCTTGAAATGGCAGCCATTTTTGTTTTTACATTACGATTACGGTAGTGCCTGTATCAAAATTGTAATAACTGAGTACGTAAGTGTCACAGAATGATAAATTTGGTGTCATTTGAACGATGACATGTTGTCCTAGCGATTATTGAAAAACTTGTTTTGATACTAACTGTTAAACATACTTAAAAACAGACAAAAGCAGAAAAAAATATGGAAGAAAATTCATTATTTTGTGCATTTCCGCACACCATTCAAAAACTAGTTTGTGAAGTTGTACTTTTTTCTGCCAATTCTACAGCTTTTGTTATCCTAAGTATTATACGTTAAGCAATAAATGCTATCCAAAAAAATGGTTCAAAATGGGTGTAATAAAATGCAAATTGTTTTCAAAATTGCTATACATGGACATGGACATGTTTAATGTTACAGAACCTGTTCAAAATGTCCTCCATTATTGGTTATGCACATTGTTGTTCTTAAAACAATGTGTTGTGTTGAGCGGCAGACCATATCCGTGTCAGCCCTAATTTCATTCGCAGCGGTATGGATACATTTCAACAGGGGTAAGGTAGGACGTTGTAGGGGGTGGATTTGTCGATAAAAATAGCTGAAAAATATTGCCCTCAAATATCGGTATGTCATGACCAAACACATTGTTTATGAAAGATGTTCCAAAATGGCACCCAGTCGCGATCTTGAATTTTACAGATGTCATTTTTACGTTAGAACATAGTATCCTTGTATCAATCTTATTGCCCCGAATTTCAGCGTGCTAACTTGACCTGTCCAAAAAATGAGAGCCTTTTAGGATAGTCTCGCAGACATACATAGACCAAGCCAGGTATATTTACACAGAATGCTACATTCGATTTTGTCCAATAACTTCGTCGAGACATGAAATACTTCCGAAAGAAGTTAAACTATTCTTACAATTTGTTAATTCTCGTTAGCTATTAAAGATATGCCGATGTGAAGTTCGCAATTACCTTCACCTCTAGATGTGCTCAAACATTAATTCGTTAAAAATTGCGTACCTAATTCCTACTAACTCCACCCCCAGATTCTGAGACACCCCACAAAATTAAAGTATAAAGTCGAAGTTCATAATTACATCCAAATGCTAAAGCGCCAACCCGTCCAGGCCATATGAATAAATAACCACTCAAATTACAGAATACAGAAAATAGGGTGGTCCACAATGAATGAGCAAGAACATAATCCTAGATTGGAGCCAAAGTTCCCTTAGTAAAATGTCGCTAGTCTACGAGATTGGGAGTGTGACAATTTAGTCATCAAAATAATTTTTTCTCTATAGCTCAAGGATTTATCATCATGAAAATTGGGGATTTGGGGGTGTTGGTTGATTAATACGATAATATTCTATTCTTTTCGAAAGCACTTAGTGATAAAGAGAGTAGACCTCTAAACGTGAGCAAGAGGGAGTCGTGGCCAAACTTTAAAGCGAAAACATTTGAGGTATCGCTGGGTTTCGCTAATGATATTTTGGGCCTGCCTGATGAAGTATAGGCTCGTTCAGTCGTCGTGGCATGCGTTTGAGGAGGTGATTTATATCTTGTTGAAGTATTTTATCCCAAGCTTTACTTTTTCCGAAGATCTGCGTTTGGCGAGGTTAAGAGGTCTTTCTTCGCATCATATCTGATATCGGAATATAAGACGTCAAGAAATAAGGCTGACGTGAACAATGATTAGGTGGTCCATTGTACCTCTAGCAATGTGATGACATGAAGACAGGGTTCTCAAACCTTTGAAGAGATGGCCAGAGATGGGGTAGTACAATCCCCAAGATATACCGTTGCGGCGGCATGCCTCTTCTTGTGAACTCATACAGTATCATACTCTTGACGTTCAAATAAAGTCGCGTTACGTTACATACGCGATGCCGTCATGCATTCCCAAACAGAACTGGGACCCAGAAAATTGAGATGATGGAATGTATAACATTGTTTCTAGATCTCGGTTCTATTTGAGGAAGGCATCATGGATGGGCACAAATCAGAAGGCATCGCGAAGAAAGAAAGTTTTCAGTTGAACATCATGTCCACCATACTGAAGCAGCTACGGTTTGGGGCATCATTAAATATGGTGCTAGTCTCTAATTTTCATTAGAGGTGTGAAACTTTATATTTGGTCATTTCTCCAAACTCCTGGACACGCTATTTTCAAATAAGATACTGTCGGTCCTCATATTGCCAAAGCTACAATAGACTCCCTCAGTAAAGCTCAAGTCAGTCAGGAAGCTCCTTCACCTACTATGTGTAAAAGTGGCCTCTCTACCTCATTCAAAATAAGCTCTAGCAGCTCTTTGGAATCAAGTACAGCTAGCTTGTGATTAGATACCTTAAGAAGATGTAAATCACTTAATCACAAGCACGTCGGGATGATTGGATGAATATATACGGCATTGAGATGGATCAACACATGAAGAAAATTCGACGGTACTGCAAATGTTTTCACTTCAAAATGCAATCACGACTTTCTCTCGGTAGTGTGTAACTGTATATTCAAATTAAATCATTTTTACAGGCTGTTCTATTTTCTTTGTCACTGAGTATGATTCATTAAGGCCCATTTTTACCAACAGGGGATCTAAATTCTTGATCCGGATCATAATGGACCAAAGAGAAGGCATATTTCTAGTAATGGAACTAATGAAAACAGTGGATAGATTTTCCTCTGTCCTTTTTTCCCCCGAGAAACGTACATACGTTGTATGTATACTGAAATGATTTTTTTTTTTAAATATGATTGCCTATACTTTTCATGAATATCGCGCTCTCACAGAGGGTCTGTGCCAAACAGTGGTTCATATATTTACAAATTAATCAGACAACAATTTGATCTGCAGTCGACGTTAGGCATTTTTTGAATATATAATTTTTTTCTAAAATCAGGTAAGTAATACATGTAATTTTGAATAAAGGCTCCACTCCGATTGAACAGGTTTCGATGCAGTTTTACGAAAACGCTTTCTTATTGGTCATTGTTGATTCGGAATTTTTTGTAGCTAAGTAATTATAATGAATTTCTTGATTTAGTATGTTTCTTACACAAATCGTATATTTTTTCGCAATTTTGTAATATACTTTAGAAGAAATCGACTATATTCATTACATCCATGACCAGAAAGACGCCTTCTCATTAGTATATTATGATCCGGATCGAGATTTTGAAATCCCGCAGGTCAATAGTAAAATCGGTCCTAAGAGTATTATGGAAATA